TCATAGGGCACCCTCAAAAAAAGGGAGGAACAGGAACTTATGATAGGTTCAGATGCTGGCATCCTTCACTGTGGGTGATCTGATTAATATAACTAGATCTTTCTCTCTCCTGGTCCAGCATTCTATTTGACTTTGTTCTCCCCTATGTCATGGGCACAAAAATGGACAATATGTTCTACAGCGATCATATGACCAGTCATCAACTATTATTTATGCTCGACGAGACAACAGAATATTTCTGAGCATGTTTATAACACTCTGATGGGAGGGCAGACTTCTTACTATGGAATGTGAGTGAGCATGCCAGCCTTCTAAGGTTGGACCCTGCTCTCCTGTTCGAGGACCTGCTGGTCTTCATCAGTTCCCTGGACAGGTGGTGGGGAATATAATCATCCCTTGACTCCTGGGCTTCCACATGCACAGGAACACCTTCTCAGTCTACATGCTCAACCTAGGTGGGACCAGCACTCTCATTCTATTCTGCATGGTCATGCATTTGATTCTCGCACTTATCTGTACCTGTATTACGATGGAACATCTTCAGCTCCCTGACTCCTGTTCTTCTCCTACACTGTGGGTGTGAGTCTTCTCAGTGCAATAAACACCAAATGCTGCCTCTCCATCTTGTGACCCATCTGGTGCAGCTGTTGCTGCCTAAGACTCACATTAACTATCATGTGTTCCCTCGTGTGCTCTGCTTTATATCCAGATCTGCTTGTTGAAGGTTTTGAAGGAATACCCTGTGCCCCACTATTGATGGGAGGCAACTTTGAACTTTGTCAGGTGCCTGATTTCATCATCACTGCATAGTTGGTCATTCTCTTTGTGGTGGTCTGTGGATCCGGCCTGACCCTGCTAGTTAGAGTCCATTGTTTGTCCCAACGGACACAGGGCCCAGCCTTTATGTCATCATCCTGCTCCTGATTCTGGTATTTTTCCACTTCAGCCTCCCCTTTGGTATCTGTTTTTCATATTACTCCGGGAAGAGAACAATGATAATGCTGGCACACCTCACCTTGACAGAGTATGGAAATCATTTCCTGTGGAAATAGCTTTGCCAACCTTGTAGTTTACATCTTTATTGGGCCCATTAGGCAGCAGCATTAGTCACAGAAGACCCTTAAATTGGTTCTCCAGTGAGGCCTGGAGGAAGTGCCTGTGATTGAGGAGGGTGGAGGCAGTGTTCCCCTGGAAATGGAGGAGATGTAGCTATCCAACCTAAATGCCCACTAATAGAGGGAAGATGGGACTCAGAGCTTGCTTTGCATACTTGGCTCAATTCCTTATTTTCTCAGTCTTCCTTTCCTCTATTACAATTTGAGATGATATCACTTTGTTAGTGTTAGGGTTCATGTGATAATCCAATAAGACATTAGTTGTTCACATAAATCATTGATGACTAGGATGACAATGACAATGGTGGTGATGAGGCCAGCTTAAGGAAAGGAACACTTCCAGAGGGAAGCACTGCAAGCTCCAATTTCAGCAGGTTCAAATTTGATTAATTGATTAGACTTGACTTGAATCCCTGTGAAGCTGTTTTTAGTGAGATAGTCCCAAGTTCCATTGTGGAAATGTCAGTTTCATTGTGGAAATGTCAGTGTGTCTGATTATGGGATGCTGCTCTTAATTCATTCAGAGTGTCACATTACATACGATAGACCCACATACTTATTTTTCCTTTAGAATCTGGGAAATTTTGAAATCTGAAATGTATCTGGCCCTTAATTAAGGAATAGTTGTCATTAAGAATTTGTGTCTGTGTTTATGAAATGGTGGAAGTTTACCTTTTCCAGGGACTGAGAGAATGTGTAGTTCCCAGGACGGAAGAGCAAAACCACAGGGGTTGACTGTCTTCAATACTAGTTGCTACTTGGGGACAGGTGCTCTTCAGTGAGGATGAGTCTGCACACATTAGTCATCAGTGTGATGACTGTATGGGGTGTGACTTCTGGGTAATGATAGAATGGCCATTTCTCTATTTTTATTTTTTCTTTCATTTTTCTCCGTTAGGGCACTTGTGCTCACTGGAGATAGACACAGAGAGAGACAATGAAAGAGAAAATGTGCATTCACCCCCTAGGAAGGATGGCCACGCCACAGTCTCTTCTCCTCCATTCTCTTCCTGGGCTTTTGGACATGCCTGCACACATGCCCAGCATGATTTTCAAGCTGCCATGTCCGGGACTCGAACTGCTTGTTATTGGCTATGTGTGAGTCCAGCACCTTAACGGCTATGCCACCTACTGGTCCCTTCTGTTTTTCATTCTGTGGAGCACCTATCATTGACTTGTTTGATCTTCATTTCTCTCTTACTTTCTCTCTGAACCTCTCAGACTCACAGAACGAATATTTGGTGAAGTTCTGAGGGGCTTTTTAGATTCATGAGCAACTTTACAGATGGGAAACTGAGGCCCAGAGAGTGGAAATGCCTTCTCCAAGTTCACACTAATGGTCTGAGATTCTGTGTTGCTCTAGCTTCAGTTTCTCCCCTCTGTCATCAGTAAATAGTGCTCCTGCCCCAATTTCTCCACCTGAGTTCTGAGTTGAGACGTTGACAAGGTGTAGGTCAGTGGGAGAGCAAGTCGGCGTCTTGTTGCCCATGGAGCCGTTGGAGAACGTGGCTGAGTCATGCCATCAGGAGCGTCCTCACACAGAGCCCTAGTGTCAGGCAAATGTAAGCTCCAATCAGGGCACAGATGGGACCAGGGTGTTACGTGCCTCTGTTCTTTGTGTAAGAGATTACATTAGCACCTGCCTCTTAGGGCTACTGCAGACATAAAATGAGAAAAATGAACCTAGTGTCTGGCATGTACTAGGTGCTTAGCCATTGCCAGATGTCACCTGCTGTGCCCTCTTTCTCTGGCTTTCAGACCCCTATTGCTATTCAGGTGCTTGTCTGGTGAGCATCTGGATTCTCATTTGTAAGGAGCCAAAGTCCTTTGTTTTTCTTTCTTTCTTTTTATTTCTTTCCTTTTTTTTTTTTTTTTTTTAATGTTTTTCTACAGAGCATGTGTGCTCACGGGAGAGCCAGATAGAGTCAGTGAGAGGGAAAGAAGTTAGAAATCACCCCTCCACCCCTGGGAGGAAAGGCCATGCTGCAATCCTTTCTCCTCCATTCTCCTCCTGGGATTTTGGACACACACACACACACACTCACACACACACACACACTTGAGTTTCAAGATACCAGATTTGGGACTCAATCTGTGGTGGACCATGTGGGAGTCCAGTGCCTTAACCATTAAGCCACTTACTGGTCCCAATCTTCCTTTATTTTGCCTTGTAAACAAAGTTGTAATTTCTTGATGTTAAGTATGAAATATACACCAGATTATGAAGACTTAATACAAAAAGCAGAATAGAAAATATCTTACTAATTTTTGTATTGATTGCATGTTGAAATAATAATATTTTAGGTGTAGTGGGCTAAATAAGACATTCGTGTGTGTGTGTATATATATATTATTTCGGCACATGTGGAAGCCCAGGAGCCAACTGCGGTTCGAGTCCCAGACCCGGTGGCTTAAATTCACACTGGGCGCATGTGCGTGCGTGCCCAAGATCCCGAGAGGAGAATGGAGAAGGGATTGCCATGTGGCCATCCACCCTGGGGAGTGATTTCTCACTTTCTATCTCTGTCTCTTTCTGTCTTTCTGGCGAGCGCACGCGCCCTATAGCAAAAACCTCCCCCCCC